AAAAAAAAAAAAAAAAAAAAAAGGAGAAAAAAAAAGGAAAAAAAGGAAGCACTGATAAGTTTCACTTGGAGAAAAGAAGTATATTGAAAGCTCCAAACCCACAACCACTATGAGTTTATGCATAAGATCTCATCCACTTAAAACTTCACTTAAAACTTCAAAACGAAAACTGAAGTACTTTTTCATCTGTAAAAGTGCAGAAGGATAATGTATTAAGTGAAATTAAAAAGAAGTTCTTTGCATCTTCTCTGCCATATCCACACAGGTTCTCACGCAGCAAAACAGCAGCGAATAGCCAGTACACATTTTTGCTGCCAACTAATGTGCATAAACAAGAAAAAGAGCCACAGGAGAACCCACATGTGAAATTTAAGCACAGTTCATTTGCAAGCTTTGGATAAACACCCTAGAAAACAGTATTAAACTGTTTTAAAATGCACAGAAGTATACATTCAGAGACTAGAATATACATTCATTAAAGAAAATATCTGTAGCTATAATAACAAGCTGATGCTCAAAGGCAAAATTAAAGAGATTTTAGTGAAATAACAGCACTTCTGTACTCCAAGTCAAATCTGAAGACAAAGGTGTTGTGTGTTCTGTAGATGCATTTTTTATCTTCTGAATCTGTCAGACCTCATTTAAATTACAGTTGGAGTTTATATGCAGCATTTCATAGATCTACACTTAATACAAAGTATTTATTCTATATATTCATATAGATGAATGAATGCTTGAATTTCAGATGTTAATTCCTGAGCAGGGAACCACTGAGTCCCTTGTGTGTATTTGAGCAACGTGCTGTCATACAAATCCACACACAGTTAAGAACATGTGCATTCACACTTACATCACTGTTGAAGAAAATATGGTTTTGTTTCCTAGCTTAGAAAAATGGTAGGAAATGTGCCCGACAGTTTCAGGGCTGCCTGAATCACCTCCCTTAGTGCTGTCTCTAAAACAAAGCTTCACATACACAAGGTGAATACCTGACACTGTCACATCAAATAATGGTTTGGTAGTTTATTGAATTCAGATACAGTGCTTCAGGAGAATGCTACTCATTTTCTATAACAGTAGGACTTCCCTACGCACCACGCAGCTACAGGTATTACCCATCTGCCCACTAAATTTTAACAGCCTAATTCAAATTTGTCTCCTTTGTTCGTTTGTAAAATTTTGCCAGCAGTTCCCATGGAATCAGAACTGAGTCAGCAATCTTTAGTTCAGCTGCACTGCAGTGAAATTTCATCAAAACATTTTTCTTCAGAGTCTACAGACTTGGAAATCCAGGGAACTATCAACAAATGCACTTGTAGAAAGTTTGGGTTTTTTTTTTTTTTCAGAACTAGTAAGTAACAAAAAGGTTTCTAACACTGGTAACAGCTTGACTATCAAGGAAAAACAGTAACGGTTTCAATATCAAAGTTGGCTAGCAGTACAGAATAGCAGCAATGCAAGTCTATTCGTTGTTTCTGTAATAGTTTTCAATTGCTTCTGAATTAAAATACACTACAGTAACTGTGATATCATCTCTGTACATTCTTGCAAGGTCTTCAGGCAGTGTCAGCATCGCAGCAAGTTTCTCTTGGTCCACTTCCCCATATTCATTATTCCCAATCGCATGCCGTATTAAATGCGTCGCTACGTTCTGGTCCAGTGAGGTAATACCCCTGTTTTTCCTCTGAAGTAACAGGTTGTGCAAATAACCCAAATTAACTGGTTTCTCAAAAGCCAGCTGTGGTTTCTGCACATTAAGCTCTGTAAGGTGTCCAGCAACTAGTTTTACAACCTTTTCATTACTGAGCATCTCCCATAGTCCATCTGAAGCAATAATGAGAAACTTATCCTTGCCTCTTAGTCTGTGGTATGTGACTTCAGGCTCTGCTGTTAAATATGGGGGTGTATGGTAGTTTGGAGGAACATACTGATAAATATTTAAAGCCCCAACGTCACAGCTGTTCTCAAGAACGCTGTGTTGCAATTCTTTACTCCATTTTAGTTGCACATCTCCAAAAGCTCTGGAGGGCATGAGAATCCCCAGTAATCTGTCATTCACAAATAGCGTTTTCTCCTCAGACCTAGGATGTTCTCTCTTTAGTCTTCTGATTTCAGATTCATCATAGGCATTGTGGTCTCGTGTTAGAGGGATAGTAGACCAACTTCCATCTTCTTCATGAACCCCTAAAATTGCTCTGCAATCACCAGCATTTGCAACATGCAGGTGAATACCATCAATGTGAGCTACACATGCCGTAGCACCAGAAAAAGCTACCTGAAGGGCAGTGTTTCTCACCAGTGCATTTTCCTGGGGAGCCTGAACTTCCAGTGATATGTCCGAGTCCAACCTTTTGAATGCACTTATCATGGCTTCTTCCAAACTAAATCCTGGCTCAATGTCTAGGTCCAGTAAATGCTGCCAGTAAACTCGCAGGCTCTCAAAATACTGTGAAGTCATTTCTCGATGCTCTACATCATTTGGATGCTTGTGCAACTGCAGAATAGGAATAACTGGTTTCATACACTCCACAGCAAGCTCCATTTCTTCCAACGTTTGTCGAGACATGAGAGAAACTGCTATATAATGAAGTAATCTCTCACTTACTGCCTGAGCACAAGCAGAACCAGCATGGCCATCAAAGACACCAAACATCATCCCCCTGGTCTGCAAGCAAGTGGCTGCACTCCTGCGGTCTTCAATAGGAGTATTGGATGCCAGTTGGTTACTTTCAAACTTCAACACAGAATTAGCACTTTTACAACTTGAATCCAGTATTTTATGGGATAATTCACCTGCTCTGAGTATATCGTTGATCTGAGATGGAGACAGCTGGAAAGAGAATTCTTCTTCTTCAGTGGAGGTGTGTCTGAATGCTTTTCTCAAGGAGAAAGTATTGTCTAAGCTGCAGGTCCCAGGGTAGAGAAGTGTTTTGGAAAAAACAAGCTTCCATTTTATTTTGTGTCTGTTTGGGACACATATGGAATACAAGCGTCCTCTTCTTTGTAAAACAAAGCTGTTCCTTGCTGAGCCTAAGATCCAGGATGATACAGTTCTTGACATCATAAGTCACTCCACAAGTACGAGCAACTTCTTTCAATCAAACAGGATGTCTTAATAGTCTGCAATAAAAAAAAAAAGTATGCAACTTGCAAGTTTCACAAGATGCTTTCTATACAGCAATTCTCTGTACAGCAATAAAAGAAGCTCACAGAAATGTTCAAAACAGCTACAGATACAAGCATCTAAGAAGTGATACAGTTTCCATTACTTAATTACAATCTCGGTGAATTTAACTTAGCATATGACTGTCTCTTACCAATTAATTCAACAGTAAAGCTAATTTTTACTTGCCCGGTTTTTGTTTGTTTGTTTTGTCATTACAGCAAGGCTAAGTGGAAGTTCCAACATTACAAGAAACGTAACTTTTCAGTGAAAAGCCTAGTGTAACAAGACACAGAGGAAACAAATTCCTTTAAGTTTTTCAGCCTAAGAGGCAATTAATGGCCAAATTTAAGGCTGCTACAGTCCAGCACTATTAATACATTCTAAATATCAAGAGTACTCAAATCCTACAGAAAAACTGAAAGAAACATCAAGCAGATTAACATTTTATGTAACTTGCCATGATCTTCTCATCTAGAGCAAGCTAGCCGACCTTTCTAATTCTGTTCCAGCTTACGTGCTTGGCTCTTTTTATACCTTCCAGATCTTAACACAGGTAGGATTTCTGCACAGCTGAAGTCAAGTTTTACTGTTTATCACAGCACTGTGCACTCAGACAATAAGGAAGTTATACCACAGTTTTATTGGTGACTTTTACAGCTTCCAGTTAGGCATGCTCATTTAAAAAGCAATTAAAACAAGCAGCAGTGAAGAGTTCTGCTGCCAAAAGCAATGAAGCCTGGGGCATCTGAGGTACTTCTTTTTCCAGGGAAGAGGTCCATCCTATTGCTTCCTCTTTTAAATCAGGTGTTCAAGCTGGGGGAAGCACAAATTGCTGCTAAGCACAACTAGATGCCCCAAGGATTTGAGAAGCTAATCATGTTATAGCACCGCAAATACAATTACTCCCAGAAGATCTCACTGGCAACCAGTTACAGTTTTCCAGGAACTCAGAAGCCACTTGAGACTGCTGCTGGCATTAGGTGCTCCAGGGCTCAGCCCAGAGCTGCCACGCACTACTGCAATACCGCTGTGTTAGCAGGGCATCTGAAGAGAAGTACCAAGAAGTCAGTCCTAGCAGCTGCAAAAATAATTGTTCTGAGAAACCAGCAGAAGCTAAAAACAAACTTGAACTATTCTAAACATGGGGACATGGTTAGTGGGAAATACTGCTGATAAATGGATGGTTGGACTAGATGATCTTAGAGGTCTTTTCCAACCTTGGGGATTCTATGATTCTATAAACAAAAAGCCAACTGATAGAACCCAAGGACTTTACTGAAATCGCATCTGGAAAACAAAAGCAAATTATACCACCAAGGCCAACTGAGAGGAAGAGCAGCGAGCTCCCACCTCCTGGGGGCCCAAGGAGGACAGGCTCAGGTTTTACTGCTGCCATCCAGAGGACAGACGGCAGTGGCAAAGCCAGCGTGTGGGCTCAGTGCGTGCCTGCAGCCTCCTGGGACAACGACATCTCCCGACAGCGCCTTGCGTTCTGCGGCACACAGAGCACAACCTAAACAAAGGTAAGGGGAAGACAGCTGGCACTGCCCGCTCCAACAACAGCGAACCAAAGCACGCAGCTGTACCAAACCTTCTTCACGGCCAACCTCTCCCAGGCCATTACCCACTCTATTTCTTCTTCCTGGTCCCAACCTTCCGAGCCAGCTGGGACAGAAACAACGATGACTTTTATATTCTTAACTGAAAAAGCTCACAAAAACAGCCTGTTACACAAACCCAGCCTTCCCCCGCTCAGACCGGCCCACAACCAGCAGGTCGGTGTCCCCGCAGCAGCCGCCGCCTCCCGCTGCCGAGAGCCGCCGCCGACCATCGCGCAACGCCGCCCGCGCGGAGCGGAGCGCAGCGCACCGCGAGAACGGACCGCGCCGCTGCCGCCCGGCACGAGCCGCGCCGGAGAGCGGCCGTTGCTAATAAAGGCAGTGCTGCAAGCCCGTGATGCAAGAGCCAATTACATAAAGCCCGGCTCCCCGCGGCACGCCCACCGCTCCGCACCAACACCAGCGCTTCCTCTTCGGCCGCGGCAGTGCCAGCGGTACAGCCCGAGCTGCCCGCGCCGCGGCCCGCAGAGGGGAGGTGGAGACCGCTTCCCGACAGAGCGGCGGCCACCCGCGGCGGTAACTGCACACCTCCCCTCCCTGCCGCCGCCGCCGCCGCTCCGCTCCGCCCCGCCGCCGCGCCCGTGCCCCCGGCCGTGCGCACGCACCTCACCGCCGCGGCTCCGTCCCCCGAATGCGGGGCCGACAGCCGCCACGCGCCCGCACCTCCTGGGCCGTCCGGCGCGGTTCGGCGACGGGCGCTGACTGACGGCCCCGCCGCCCAACCCGCGCCGCCGACAGCGGAGCCGCCCCCCGAGCCCCGCCCCGAGGGATTGCGGCGGCGGGGCGGGGCCGCGGTTTCCTGCGGGGCGCCGGCGGGACGGGGCCGGGCCGGGAGGGGCGGTGGCCGCGAGCGGGCGGCGCGCGGTGCTCGGCCCTACGCCATGTTCTCGGCGGCGCTGCGGGCCCTCGGCCAGCGAGCTGTGGGCGCGGAGCGGCGAGGTACAGGCGGGGGAGCGGCGGTCCCACGTCCTGCGGGTTGGTGCTCCCGGCTGACGGTTGTCAAAGTCACAAAGCGCCTTGGAAAGCGTCAGGCCCCGTAAGCTAAGAAGAAGCACAGCTGCAGCTCACGTGGCAGCTCCCTGTTTCCGTGCCGCCCTCTTGCTTGCCTGCGCCAGCATTTCCACCGAGCGCTCGTGCAAAGCTGAGCGCGCCGAGGGGCGGGCCTGCAGCGCGGTGGTGGATGAGTTCGCGTGCCTTGTGGAGCGGTCCCTGCCTCGGCTTGTAGCGGGGATTTAGCGAAGGCGGGCATTTGATAAGACCCGTTCATTTCCTCATTCTACTGGCTGCTGATACTGAAGCGTTTCTCTTGTCAATAATGCATTGCAGGTCCTGCGTGAGGTAAACGCAAACCCCAGATTGTCTCCAGTGGGAGGATGTGTGGCCATCATCACGAATCTGAGCTTTGGCTGTTCCTGCTTTGCTTTGGTTTATAAGTAATATCAGTGAAACTTGGTTTCATGTCAACAGGACGACCAAAACAAGAAGAAGAGCGAGGTTACTGTAGAGAAAAAAAACCAGGACGTTATTTTAGCATCTGTGGAAATGATCATTTGACACATTGCTGAACTAAAGAGATCCTCCATGTCAGCCCTTACCAACCCACAGCTTCTTTAGCTTTTTTGCCATTGCAGCAGTGATGAAACCTCATCTGAGGAGTGTGAGGAAAGAAACAGAACTGCTCAGGCTTGCAGTATTTTTGCCCTCAGGAATATCTGATTAGAATTGTAAATTTCCGTGGAAGCAATGGTTTGGTTGCCATGGTGCTCAAAAACGCAATTTTATTCCAAAGAGAAAAAGTTTAGTTGATATTTTCCTGAAATGGGGAGAAAGATTTCGTTTGGTGCTGCATGTTAGAAAACAGCCACAGATCCGAGCCCCTAGGAGATGACTGTGTGGCTGTCACACAAGGGAGGATAGGTCCTGCAAATGACTTGCCTCAGGTCTGTCTGGGGGAACACAGATGGAGCTGGGACTTGCTGTGGCTCACAGAGCGCGGCGGTGCGCCTAGGGTGGCTTTTTGAAGGGAAATACGTACAACTTCAGTCCACAAAAACACTTGGATACCTTCCTGCTCAGGGCCTTGCGAAACAACAGTTGCTTGCTAGGTGTATTTTGCCCTGTGAATAGTGTTGCCCTGTGAATAGTGTAATAGTTGCCTTTTATGTGCTGTATATTACATTGTGAATTTTCACAAAGGGTACATGAGCACCTTACCTGCAGAGATCTCTAATCAGGGAGACAAATAATAAATAAATAAATCATGTATGAGACTGGGAAAAATTAGTTTTCACAATGTCTGTTAAAGCAATTGCAATTCCCAGTTTGGTTACAAAACAAATTTCCACTCTCTGATCTTCCTATATAATCTAAAACAAATATGCAAACACCAGAAAAGCAAACAAGCTGCAAGAAATGTCAACAAACAGAGGTAAATGCAATGAGCAGCAGTTGGACAACTGTCATCCCAGCTCTTGGCCTTCATTTAACCCTTGCTGTTACATCAGCAGCTGAGCAGTGTGTCTATAACTGAAGTTGCAGAGGTTAAATTGATTATCCAGTTTAAGTGACAGGGCTGGTGTGTGAAGGCACGTATATACTTGCTGTGATTGGATCTTAACGTCACATTCATAATTTTTACCAGGTCTTGCTTACAAACTGCTTCAAATTAAACGGAAAACCACTGTCAAGTGAAATACATGCTGTTAGGGTTCTGTACCTCTGTAAATGGGTGTTTAAATTTCTTGAGGATAACTTAGCAGTGCAGGAACATCTGCTGGCTTGGTTTGAAGTGCTCACATGTGGAAAAGTATGTTCCTTTCCTCCTCTCCAACTTACACCTTTTTCACCTCCAGCAGAAGAACTCCTGAATTCCTGCGTTTAATATTTCATTCTAGCAACATGAAATGAAATTAGTGATTAAAATTTGGAGGTAGTACAAGTACAATTAAAATTACAGAGGGAGCAGCAGAGGTATAAATGTTGTCTGCCTTGCAGCCATGCAGTAGTGCTGGTGGAGTCGGTCAGGTCCCGTCCATCTATTACTGTTTCCTTCTAAGCAATGAGAAAAACCATGAGGCCCAGCGTTGCAGGTGGAGTACAGCAGAGTGCTGTATGAAGTGGTCACCTTTGCCTGCAGAAGGAATTCAGAGAGGAAAACAGCTAATCTGAAGTACAAGATAAGATCTCTTTTGTTCAGGCTTATCTCTGTTTTTGTTTTTCTTTCTATTTTTACTGGAGTGGTCACTTTTCTATCTTTCTGACCTCTGACCACCACCAAGAGCCCTGTCTTGTGACCCGGTGCCTCACAACATTTTTCCACCAATGCTTTTGCTGAGCTTAGTTTACACTTGTCACAAAAGATCGTCACGAATCACTGCTGGATCACGTCAGCTGTGTTACTGAAACTGCCTACAAACCTTCCTGTTTGCAGAGGGTAGAAAAACTCAGGTGACCGTAGGCTGAAGCTATTAAAGCCACACACTTAAACGTAATGGAGCGTGAAGTTTATCAGGGAGAGGATACCAGGATATCTCTGGCCTGCTAGCGAGAAAGAGGTCACAAGTGACGCAACTGCCTGTTGAGTTTGTTTTGTGAGGTTAGTTTTTATCTGATAAAGAGGTTTCAAGGACTGCACGTGTACAGCCTGCGCACGGATCTCAATTATAACCACCTATAACTTTAAAAATAATCATGGCCAAAATTACGGCTTCTCTCATCTGCCGTATCGTCATTAAACAGCTTTAAAAAATTGTATTTTGAGCGTAAGAAGCGGTGAGGAGAGGAAGCAGGCAGCCACCAGGTGGCTCCTCCAGCCGGCTGTTAGCGCTGCTCAGTTTCCGTCCCCGTCCGGACGGCGGGGCGCAGCTCCTCCCTCCAAGGGGCGGCTCGGGGAGCTGCGCTCGTCCGGCCTGCAGAAGAAAAGGCTCCGGGACGCCGTACTGCAGCCTTCCAGCGCTTGAAAGGAGTTCATAAGCAGAAGGGAGATGTATCTTTCGCACAGTCTGATAGCGATAGGACAGAGGGGAGCAGCTTTGAACCAAAAAGGGAGATGAGGTTAGGTGGTAGGAGGAATTTAACTCACAGGGCAGCGAGGCACTGGCAGTGATACCCAGAGAAGCTGTGGATGTCCCAGCCCCAGAGGTGCTTATGGCCGGGTTGGATGTGGCCCCAGGAAGCAGGGAGGCTGGAACAGGATGACCTTTAAGGTCCCTTCTAACTTCAGCCATTCTATGAGTACATTTTTTCACAATAGTTAAAAAATAAACCACTGAGAAAAGCTGTAAATAAGATAAAATTGTATTTCTAGAGCAAGGTGTAATAAGCATCTCCCAGAAACTGAACACCCTGTGGGATTCAGCGTTTAAAGCTCCCTACGATATCTAAGCTTTTACAGCAACCTTGTGGGCTAAATATTACCCTTCTGCTGTTCATGAGTAAACCACACTTAAAGCAGCTTAGCACTACGTTCAAGGTCACAGGATGGGCACACTGTGTAGATAAGTTTTTTATTTTAGTGGAGCAAATGGGTGCAATTGGGAAAAACCAAACCTAGCTTTTGGTACACAAGCCCTTTTAACTGTGTGTGTGTTTCTCAGAGTGAGAACATGCTGCAAATACTGATCAGTACCCTCTGTTAAAGCAAGTGGTGCTGCAGCAGTACATTGGTAGTTTATATACAAGTGATACTGGTTAAATTTCAATCAGAAGGCCTTATTTATATCCATAAATAATTTGGCTCTCAAGTCTGTATTCTTCTAAAACACCTTTTATATTTTAAAAGGTCTTTTGTGTTGCTTGTAATTGGGAAATAAATCATAGCAAAGCATAACAAAAGCCTAACTCTGGCAGTGGGCAAGACATTAAAGATGTACAAAATGTCAAATTGTCATCCAGAAGAATAAACTACAATAGAAACTGCTGGTCCTAAAGGATGGGAAGAATTGTGGCACAGACCAAAAATGGCTTTTAAACACAAATGTACTGTAATGGAACAAATGCCCTGAAGGCTCAGGGATAACGTATCTGTATTTGCATTATTCTACTATAGTAAAATCAGTGCCTGTGAAACTGAAGTCCTACACAACCATATCATTCATTAGTCTGAGATTGGTGCATCAATTACTGATATCAAACTGTTTCTTTGTAAAGGGAGTCCAAGAAAAAGCACTGCAGTACGTAGAGAGAGAGCCTGTTCAAAATAAAGGCAGAGATGCATACATGATTTTAAAATATCATTTATTTAACTTGGTAAAGAAATTAAGATAAATAGATTTTTTGCAATAGCAGTTTTCCTAACTAGCCAAGTTACATTCATAACAGCTAAAAACATTGCATTTTATAATTATTTTTTTTTTAAAAAATTTTCCTCTAGCATCTTCCATATAGGAGTCTCAAATTTAAAACAATGCTAAATTAGCCCTCACAGTATCCTTGTGAGGTAGATATCAGTGTTACTTTCAGTTTATCAAAGAATAAACCGAGGAACAGAATGTTTTATATCAGTTTGCAAAAAAAAAGTAAAAAAATTGTAGGAGTTTGGTCTAAATTCCAATCTTCCATTCCTTGTACTGTGCTCCATGCCTACTATTTTTGTCTCTCTTTCTGAAAAGGGAGAACCACCTGTAGGTGTTCTAGTCTGCCCTTCCCACACTTCTCCCTCTTACTTCAAGATCTTACTTAAACATCTACAGCTTCTTCATTTAAAAAGCTGAAAGCTAATGAACCCAAATGAATTCGTAATTCGTCTGAAATATACAGATTAATTAAAACATCTGAAACCTAGAAATAAAGTAACTGAAAATACACTGACAATAGGTACAGATGACATCACTATTTTTCTTACTGGACACAAAGGTCTGAAGAATTTTTTCACTGAGCTGCAAGAAGCAGCAATACAAAAACATGGCTTTTCTAAAGCAACTATTTTGCAGCTGTATCAGGATTCAGTAGAGATTAAATCTCAAATTTGCCAGGACCATCCCTGACCGATTGCCATGGCTGTGGGATGATTTGTGCAGTGATGTACATTCAGTGCAATCAAGATCTACTCACACAAGACCATTAGAGTGAAAAAATACACATACATTCTTCAGGGCATCTGCTGAAGGAAGTCATATTGCAGAGCAAATCACTTAACTGAGGTAGAATGTGAACAAGTTAGATAGCCACAAGTACATACCTGAATTGCTACAGATGTTCCTTCTCAATAAACTTAATGAGGGAGTTATAATTATGTATGTTGCATAGGCTAAAATAATTTATGTCTAAACAGTCTTACGCAATAAACAACATGGCCTGTTTTGGATCACAGAGCATTTACATTACTTATTTGAAAACAGTTGTACAACAGTATCTTAGAACAGTAATTTTGAAATATATAGTTTTCATATCAGTGCCTTCATGAAGTGAATACAGAACCTTTTTGAGTACTGCTAGCCTGCTTTGTGTCAATAGACAGCAAAGTGAAAATCTTCTAAGTCAGAGGGAGCTCAGCAAACAAGAAAAATCTAAGAAAAATTTAAGTCCACTTTATCCAAATTTCAACCATTCTTTCATCACATATTAGACAATCAGAAGATGTAACCATAAGTACTGATTACCACCTATTTCCCATCTTGTATTAAGTAGGATTTCATCTTAACTCCAAGAGAATGATCCAGATCACTATCTATCCTTTGTACTAAAAGGAGTTCTAGTTAAAAAGATCTGAGCTTGTGTTAAAATTATGCGATTCAAACAAAACACAGCATCAGAAAATGTTCGTCTCCCTGCAAGTACAGAGTGTTGTTGGAAATGGCTATCTTGCACGCTCCATGAGTGATCTAAACTCAGGTCTATGGTCACTTATGTGGAAACTCTTAGATATCCCAAGGCTGTTACCAGTTTTCTTCAGGCCTTGAAGGAAGCTCGGACTGTTCTCCCCTTAAGTGGCTGAGGGGGGCGGAAGTTATTCACCATCTGGACCTTCTGGTCTTCCTCACTGGTGAAGAGGAGCATGCGAAACTTCTCCAGCTGCAAATTCAGGTGAGATAATTTACTGCTTAAAAAGGCAATTAATATTAAAGTTTTTGAAAAAAATACCAAAGGAAAATATTCAGTACGTTAGCCTGTTTTTTAAATATGTTTCAGCAAATAATTTAACAGTATTAAAGAAAAAATAGAATCCCTGAATATTGAACAGAGTGACTATTCACAAACTAACAGTCTTTTAACTTGACCCCATTGCAAAGCAAAACAGTCATTGCTTGTAGATACACAGTGTCAAAACTGCAAAGAACTGGGAGAATGTCAGAAGTTTACCTGTTTCTCAGAAATACTGATGGGTTCTTTCAGCACTACCCATATTACACTCTCGTTAAGGGGTGGTGTTGTCAAAGATCCAAGGTATGTCCAATAATCTAGACTCAAAGGCAGGAGACATTTGGGGTTGAAGCTTCTAAATTGAGCTTTTGTCCCCTGGAAGACAATTGATATTTTACATTTCTCTTCCTCTTTTAAAGAAAAAAACTTACAAGTGCAGATTAAAGTCTTTTTGAAATAAAGTTAGAGTGATACTAAAGAGTGGGGGAGCAGAAGAAGAGCGTGTAATGATCCAGTTGCTTCATAGCAACTATTGCCTAAGCGTAAGCCTGAAGACAGAATCAGAGAACTGTTACATTCTATTGTGTGGCAAGTGTGACCTCTGCTGCTAGCTGATGGAGTTGATGTTTTTGCACCGTGGTCTCTATGGAAGTTCAGCTTTTGTCATAAAACATCCAAAAATAGTTTAGGAAGTATATTCTCTATATAATGTTCAGTGTGATCTACAGATATCACGGCAAGATTCCTCATCTTGTAACTTGAAGTTTTTGATGCAGTGCATCTATTTCAGTAGAACATCTGAAACTGTGGAAAACTTGGCCTAAACCAATCAGTGCTCTGAGAGAAATATCAGCTTTAAGAATCAGTTGACCAAGTCTAAAAGCAGAGCGAAGTGCATCAGGCAGAAGGCCAGTGCAAGAGGTGCTCTGTGTAAAGTAGTGATCACCTTGACTACTGCAGTCTAGGACAAGATTTTCCAGCCTGTCACCATATTCAAAAATACCTGAAAGGTATGTAGTCACTCACAGAAAGCACTATCCAGCAATCTGTGGAGCTGCTAATCAGGAGCAGACAGAGCAGTTTACTCCTTGTGGCAACCTGGCAGACCTTCCATCACTACAACTGAAGAATTACACTTTCTTTCCTCTAAGTGGAAGAGATCACTTACTGAACATCAAGATTTCACTTCATGTGACCTACGTATGCTGTATAGTTGCCTTCATTTTCAGTCTTTCACAAACATGCACAAAAGAACAAATAATAATATGGCTACACAAGTATTAGATAGAATTTATTTTGCATATTAAAACTTACACATCTACAAAGTGCATTAATAGCCCGTATAAATCCAGAGAGGATAATATTTGCAATCATCTAATTGGCCTGCACTTGACAAAGAGCAGCAGATATCAACACTGAAATCTCTTGGACACATCTGGTAAGGTACCTTGAGTTACCACTCCAAGAATAGATAGACTAGTTCCCCGTGATGATTGTCCCCTTGTAGGGCTTTGCAGTAGAAACAGGCTGAACCATGAGCTTTGACATTTTCAAGGTTAGGCTTTGTGGAAACTGGTTGTTTTGCTGAGTGTAAGAGGAGGCCTGATGAGTCATGGAACTTTTGACTTTAAATACTTCCTGAAAGGCAGGACCCCTGAAGGACCAGTGGGGTCAGCACAGCCTTGGGAGGCACCAGAGCTTAGGCAGACATTGAGGTCTGGAGATGAAGCGAGCAGAGATGTTGCAAAGGAAGAATACAACTAGAGAGATGTTCTGGTGATGGGAGGATTTGTGGTGGGTGGTTTTTCATTTCTGTTTGTCTCAAACATATGACTTGTTTTTAATGATATCCCAGAAAGAAGAAAATCTGAACAGCTTAAAACTTACTTTAAATTTTACCATGTACAAAGCATCAGTGAGTCTGTTCATATTGGCATGTTCTTTTCCAATCTACAATAGTAATGGAATAGACAGGTTAAATAAGAATGACTGTAATTATGCTTTGAATAGGTAGCATATTGTTTTCTTATCTGAATCTCAAGATTTCTACTAAAGTAGGTTTAACAGCAATTTGCAGTGAGTTACTGCTTTCAGTAAGTCATCTGTTTTCCCTAAATACCTCTCAAATACGTAGCATGGTTCTCAAACATTTGACAGTATAATGCTTTTCATCATGTAAACGTGCTATTTTTGTGATTGTTACCTCCAAGAAAACACCAACTACAGCCAAGCCATCTGGAGCTGCTGCTGCTTCTCCAAATGTTGCATACTTCTTGGCATTCCAGTGAACTAAGTGGAGCTTTAAAAAAAAAAGAATAAGAATTAAATGCGTTAGTGATAAAAATTGTCAATATAGGTCTTCAGATGTCTAATAGTAATGGGAAAGGCCTATGTCTTGTCCAAACTCAGCAGAAAATTCTCAAGAGCCTCCCGATGAAGCTATTTCAAAGCTATAGATGGCATCAGCCACAATCATTTCATAGGCTGCGATCCCCAGCTGTAGTCAGGTTAACTGTGCCAGGTTGGTAGAGATACACGCTGCTTTTCAACATCATGTTTGCCAGTATGTCCTTTGTGTTATGCAGACAGGAAGGATATAGTTGAGAATTGCAGACTAAACTACACAGCAGAGGACCACTGGCGGTAGAAGTAGTCTTGTGTGAGCAGAACAGCCTCGCTGTAGGGCAAGCAGAGAAACTTGAAGAAAGGGCTGCACTGGGTGGGGAAAAGTTTGGACTTCCAAGACAGGGTAATTAACAGACAAATAATTTCAGCGTAAGGAATAAAATTCTCATTAAAGCCTGTGCTGACTTAACCACACTGAACTATCAGAATCCTGAGGAAAATCCAGACCCCGCTGCAAAGCTATTTGTCAACAGCACTAGCATGAATTGATCCCATCTGTAAGAAATGTTACCTCACATGGAAAAGGTTTGCCATCGATTGTATGCTCTGATCCCTCACTGTGCTTTGCCCCCCAGTGAAAGTGGAACTGCTTTAGCCGAAAGGGACTCTCAAAGGGGCCACCGCTGATCACTAGGCAGAAAGAAAGCAAAAAAAAAAGTATTCAGGGTTTTTAGTTTCCTGTTACTAAAGCCTAACAACTGTTACCTGCTGGTTTGTACTATTGTGCCTTTCCTAGTTTGTAATATGAAAGAGGTACATCATCCAGATATTTATAAGGGTTAGATTTATTCATGGAAAACACCTGAATTCATGTAAAAAATAATTTGAAACAAATATTGAGTGGCTTCATAAATTGTTTCTGAAAGAATACATTTGACATACGAACACATGGTGACTTTTTTATGGTTAGGCTTCTCCTTTTTTAACACAAAGCCTAAGTTGAAGACCAAAAAAATCTGAAGTACCTAAAACATCAACGTGCTTCTTTTGTGCAGAAGAGCCTAAATGCACTGAGCATCAGGTAGACAATCCAGCTAAGTATTTCCTCTAAAGAGTATTCTTTCCAGTAGAGGATATCTATATTCTGCCTCCTTTAAGTATCTGATCCCATAAAAGAGGTAATATAATAGCTTGTTCTTTACACAACACCATTTAGAATCTCACATCACCTTACGAAGACAGGGAAGTGATACAGAGAAACTTCATACATCATTTAGGAAAAACACTTAAAATGAATTTTTAAGATGCCAACCATAGACACTCTATCAGTGGCAATTCTCTTGTACTTTTATACAGCACTAAGCCAATTAAGTTTTGCTCAGCAGACGAAAACTCAAAGTTTTAAATTAAAAAAATGAAGTACACTTAGCATGTCTAACATTAAAAAAAAGTTGCAGCATTGTGTGCTCCCATATGCATTGTTCCAGCTGTTCTTTGTACATGAAACTGGCCTTCCCACAGCAGTGCTCACAGTACTGAAATTAAATACACACTGTCCAGTATGTTTTGCTGAACTTAATCGAATGCACCACTGTTCCAATGCTTTAAGACATCTAGCTGTGTTGGATTACTGTCAGAATTCTGTTGTACCATTTATGCAAAGCTATGAGTCACTAAATCTACTTCAAATCAACTAAAAACTCTTACACCATGTTTGTGCTCCTAGCAATTCTCTTCCTGCTAAGTGTTATTAAAACATGGCACATGCATAACGTAAAAAGGGCAGAGGTCTTAATTGCTGCTTGTGCTCTCAGTTTATCTACAGTGATGCATAGTGCTCTTAAATTAAACTCCTAAAGCTGGATAAAGTTCACTGGTATATAGATACAGTTCAACTTAGAACTGCATGAAAGTAGTTAGCAGCTAAGATAATATTTCCAGAAAAAACTTTAAAAGTTCTCTGTAGAATGATATCTTAATGCATTTTTATGCAACAAGCTTTTGGAAAATGAGCATGTAGTCTTCCTTTCAAATTCAGTAGCTACACTTGAAAACCTGGCCGTTAATTTGGGCCACTGTTTAGGTCCATTCAAGATGAGGAATGTTAGAATTAAGTAGCAGGAATTTTAATCCCCTGACCCTATTGCAAGAGGTTTCCAGCACAGACAAATCACTTCACAGAAAGTAACTTGTTTTGAGTACCAAGGTATCCTATTATCTAGAATTGATAAACACAACCAAATAGAAGGTGAAATCAATTGATAGGTTAAAAATTATTCAGAGTATTTTTAAATGCACACCTCTATTTATCAGAGATACTTTGTCTCCATTCCAATGCTGCATTTGTTGGCCTCCTTCCTTCCCTCTCTCAGATGTAAAAGCAAGGCTTACCATGGATGTAGAATTAATACAAGTAATCTCATTTATATTTTTGCCAAGAGCTAAAGAAAAAAATACATACAATGGCAACATCCACAAGGTGCAGCCAAAACAAAATAAGCTGAAGACTGCCATTTCTAAAGAAGTTGTACTGCTATGAGGCGGTGAGGAAAGAAGAAAACAAGCTAATAGTTAATGACTGGTCCAGATAAAAATAGGTCTGGTGCAGTACAGTTATGATGGCTACACCATATGACCTCATCTCTGATAATCCTCTTCCTTTATCCTTGTGGATGTAAACTGGGGAGCGAGCCAGACAGCACCAGCATCTCTGCGGACTATCATGGAAACAGTGCACTGAGGAGTGTGCGTGCCTACTCTCCTGCTGGTTGTGGTCTAGGAGTGCTGGAGTTCTGCATGGATTCCCTCTCTAGCAAACCGATCATCCCTATATAAAAGGAACCCCTGCAAACAAACAGGCTTTCCCAATACAAATATAGTTTCTAATACAGAAACTATTCAGCTCTGAGGTATTTAATGCTGTTAGAGAGACTCAAGTGAAGGTAAGGAATAATGCTCAAGCAAACAAATATAAATGGTTTTGTTTGCATACTTTGTTCTAAACTGAAACTATACACTGTATAAAGTATACTATAGAGGATGTACTTCATCGTTTCCCTCTCTAAGCCATAACATGATAGCTGGTTATGTATTGGTCTCACCTGTCTTGTCATCAGTATCTTCAAACTCAACCATAACTGAATGGCCATTGTTGGAGATGTTGAGAGATGTGCAGGATTCATAGGAGATTACAAGCGGCATCAGCTTAGGGTCATAGACTGCTTTTGCAGAAATTATATCAATAGGTGACTGACGGTTCCCTTGGGCAATAGGATAGGACTTGTGCCACTCTGAAGGTCCTTCAAAACCAAAAGAAAGCACATTATTTTCTTTCTACTACATGCACACAATTATTTCAGGATTTCACGAGGCTTGAAGTAAAGCTTGCTGAGCAGGAGTGACTTGAAAGTTTGGCATTTGACAACCTCATTTAAATTCTAAGTTTTGTGTTTTTATTAGCACAGTGTGCAACTAGATGGGGGATTGAAGCATGTTATACCAAATACACTGGGGAAGCCACAGCACATTAACAGACTGCTGCACCTTCATTTACTTGCACCACTAATCTGTTGTGGAGTCAGTAATTACATTTTTAAGGTATCCGAAGTCCTTCCAAGGTGTATGCAGACACGAGCACACTTGTAGGCACACATGCACTCCCTCAAAGAAACAGCATTTAATCCTTCCTAGGGAAGATAATGTAAAAGCTCGAGTGATTCAAATTAGATGCAGATGACTCAATCTCTTTGCTACTGACTATGCAGTTATTTTTAAAGCCATTTTAGGATTGCAGTAAATCTTTGGAGCAGATTCATTCTTCACTCATGCCCATTACAATATCTTTCTGCCCTGAGCAAGAAGTACAGTGTGCTAATTAACACTTCTGGACTTGCTGAACCCAATAGAGCAGGGTGAAAGACCAATTTAGTAACTTTGCTCTCTCCTGCCAGAGCTGGAACACCATCATGCTGTTTGAGATAATAAAAGCCTCTATGTATAAAAGAATTACTTCTGACCCCTTTTTTTCCACTTCAGTAGTGCAGGAAGCAGTCCTATCTTCTACTGCTTATATTCAGGAAATATAAACATTAACAATTTCACTTGAAGATTCTAAAGAATTTTTTTTTTTAATGGTACCATTCTCACATAATTCCACAAACTGATTTTTGTTTTATTTTAATAAGCACACCCTCTTTGAGAGAAACTAATTCAGTGATCTACTAGCCTCTTATCTTCAAGATTTTCTGAGAAGTTAGACTTATAAAATAGTATGTTTTCATCAGCCTGCCTGTAAAGGTTGGAGTTTAAATGCTGTTACACAAGCTTAGACAATATCATTTGTTCCTTATAAGCTTTGTGTTAATATGTGTGACTTTGTTAATAGCACCTAAATGTCTAAATATGTAATGGCACCACTGGCACTAAGCAGCTTCACTCAGTGTTCAGGTGAAGTTGGTTTTGGACTTGCAGCAATTGTAGAATAGCTGCTGCCAGGAGCCCAACAGAGAAAGGAGGAGCTCCTGGAGGTCATGCAAAAGATGGGCTATTGGACAACAGCAGTCATTCAGCCATCATGCTCTGCAAAGGGTACAGGTGGCATGAAACACTGTCGTACAAGTCTTTCAGTAGTTTCACACATCCTCTCACTCTGACACACAGTCCTGTAGGCGGGAAGCAAGGGAGGATGACTAAATTAAAGACTGTCAAATCAGAAAGCACAATTTGTTCAATAAGAGATCTCCGATACTGATCTCTACAATTTATTCATATTCAGAAATATATAACATATACTTGATTTTATTCACTTTAGAAGCCTAGATATCACATTTCAACAACTTCACAGAATCAGAAGATCTATTACTGCTCTTCTATTACTAAGTCTTCTAAGAATTGCTTTCAGAAAGACAAACAGTTCATCATTTTCATAGCAGCTTTTTGGAAAAGGACCCATCCGTAATATCTGCAGCCTAGGATAAAACTGCTCAGCACTGCTTCCCTCCATTTAGGAGCAATAATAGCAGTAACAAAAGGCAGCAGGAATAAGTTTGTGCATCATTCAGATATCACCTTCTGCAAGCAAGCTAGCATCAATCCAGTAATTAATTAGCTACTGTTTATACTTGATGTTTGCAGACGTAGAGATGCAGGCAGCTCTGCAGGACTCAGACGGCAGTTCCAGAAACAAAACGAATGGGGGAAGACAGAAAGATGCAGCATGGAAACGCTATAACCTACCGTCATCCTGCCCATATCCCCAACTGTGGTGGCCAGTCATAACGGGACAGCTGCACCCTGCTGAGCTCTCAACTCTTTGCCAAGCACTGCTGCTTACCTGCCTTTATAATAGCTCACCGGGGATCGGGTCAGCCCCTTAAAGACACAGAGCATCCTGAGCAGCTCCGGCAGGACGGGAGCAGCCAAGTTTCTCCCGCTCCTCCTTGTGCTAACACAGTGCAGGGAAAGGAAAGGGCAAAACTCGGGTCGCTGAGGTCCAAGGGCTTAAGGAGGAACCAAGATCATCCACGGGGAACTAGAACGAATGTTTGGGAATCAAATTTTGGGAAAAGGAGCAGTTTTTACTCATTCTGCATAAGGAAGCAATAGCTTGCTCTGAGCATTTGAGCATGGTAATGTGCAGATCGTAATGGGAAGTGCCCATTTCTCCTATGTGCTCTGCAGGGACGAACATCACCTGGCTGCTGCCTCTCTGTTCTTACTCTCTCCAGCTGCAAAAGAGTGACAGATGTTGCCAGTTATTTGTAACTACAACTTTGGAAGCAGTGCTTAGATGAGATGGAGAACATTCTCATCTCGAAAAAGCGATTTGTGCTACACTTAAGCAAGGCAGTACCACACCAATTTAAGATAAATTGGCAATCTCTTTTTTGTTGTTGTTGCTGTTTTTGTTTGTTTGTTTGTTTGTTTGTTTGTTTTTAACACAGAAACCCTTTAGAAGACAAGAATGTAAATAGTGTACTTCTATTAGGAAACAGACCCTGGCAGACTGGGGAAAGGAGATGAGCTGTGGATCAGTGATGTGCTGTAACCCACTAGTTGCCTGCATCTAGCTACAGAGCTACAAGGAGATGCACAGTCTGTACTTTAAAAGCTCTTGGAACGGTTTTGTAATAAAAAACATGGTTCCTTGGTAGCAATTTTATTAGATCTAAGGAGATACCGTCTGTTAAGGCAGCATTTTATAAACACAATATTGATTTTCATAAAGACAGGAGCACACAGATAGGGATCCTTCTATTATGCAATCAAGAAAATGGGAAAAAAAATCAATGAAAGCATTTTAAGCATTTTTTTTCTATTCTTGTACTGCCTCGTAGCAATACATTTCCTTTTTCAGGAGCTTTCTGTGGGAGTCAGCTTTAAAACCTCTGAGATTTACTGATGCAGGCTAAATCACTCAATAAGGGATGTAAGCTGCTGTAAAGGTATCCACGTGGCAGTTTTACAATGACTTACTCAGATCCACTCCTCCATTTACTTCTGTTTAATTTGTGTGATGTGCTGAGGTCCCTGAGCAGACCAGGCAGGCAGCAGGTGCTGACCCTGCAGGTGTGTCTGTGCAGTACATGGCCTGCACACGTCCTGCTGCACTGGCACTGGGTTAAAAGCTCGGCTGCTTACGAGGACAAAGCAGCTGGGAGAAAACTGTGATGCTTCTCATTCTTCTTCTGGTGTGGCTCTGATTCAGCAACCAGATGTAGGCAGGGTCAGTCAGGCAAATAACAAAACTATTGTAGACGTGGTGGGGAAATCAGCTTGCCAGTGAAAATAAATGCAAGAGGAATTTTGCACTTTAGTGAAGCAGAGGCCAGAGAAAAACTGTATTCTAGGCAGGGAGCACTTCATTCAAGAGGAACTTGAAAACTGAGGCTCAAATTATGCTCTCAGGGCACAGTGCCATCGAAGTGGCATAACGTGTATGTGTATTTGATACCATTCAACACTTCACCTTTTATTTCTTCATGTTCAGAAGCTCTAAAGATGTGTATTTCAAAGGGAAAACAATGAGAAAAGAGAAAACATGCTGGCAACATGACAGGAAGTGACTCTGCTAAGTGGGGTATGAAGAGCTGACTTAGAAAAGGTGAAAAAGAGGAGTGACAGTACATGAAAGATAGAAACAGCCTGAATGAAATAATAGCTATGAAGATAGCCATATTCTCTAGTATATATTTGTTTATATACACAGTACTTAATGTGTTTCTCTCATCTTTTTTTTCTTTATTGAGGCAAAAATTAACTTTTCCTTAAGGCTAGGATGATACGTTGCATACACAGATACCAGATATTCTTTAATCCCAATTCCTGTTGACATTGACTGCCTTCAATTGTGGATTTTCACTGACTGCCCTGAACGTATCACTTGTCACTTTCAAAGTTGCAGTAGTAATCAAATTATGGTCTCAATAGTACTAGTTTGTACCAGTGATAATTACATCACTCTGGTTAAATCCAACTTAAGGAACTGAGAAGCAGAGAGTGGTAGATGCTTAATGGGTAGATTTCTCCATTGAGAAGCTAAAAATGAGGTACCTGTGATTTCCACAGATTTCCTGCAGGTTCTGACTATACCTCAAAACTTTCTGCTCAGCAGTGAATGATAGGAAGGCAGAATTCAATCCACCATGGTGAAAAGTTTCAAGAGGTCTCAAAAGAATAATTCCATCTTCCCCCAGTCTTCACAGTTAGCATTTCATTCCTCCTGAAAAGAGAAGTAACGATGTAGGAGCAGTGCAGCAGCCTAGGACAAATACACGGGTTCTTCTTCTAAACCTGTCACTGCGTTCTCATACCAAACTACACTTTGCATTTCCTGTTGCCAAATACAGAATAGTTTTTGGTTTTTGTTTTTTTTTTTTTTTAATAATTTGAGGGTCCGTTATTGAAATTGCTATGTAAGTACTAACCATTACTGTCAAAAAGCTACAAGGAAATTAGGTTGCCAAATTGTAATTGAGCATATAAAACTTTGAAGACTTGAGAAACTGATTTTTTAAGGTGAGTTGTCTCTACGACACAGATCTGGTGTCATTGGGAAATATTCACAGAAGGAGATTGTGTCAGTTGGGGACAGTGCTTTTAGTAGATATTACTGTGTCACTGTAGAGGGATGGAGCTCTGTTTTAGGAAACACAAAAGGAAGAAAAGTCACTGAGTTCCAAAGTGAATGGCTGAAGGGTACTCCAAGAGCATTTGCTTGCATAACTTGGCAGTTCTCTTTGCTGAGCATCTTTAATGATGGCAACACACACTTGAACAACCTGACATATGCCTTCTTAATTTAATAGATATGTGTCTGATGCATCATTGCTTTTGAACAAAATAGGACAGAGATACAATCAGTTTGGATACAGGCTGCTCACCCCTTTGGAATACAGAGCCTTTGGAATACAGAGATAGGAGCAGATGAAGTGTTAAAACATTCATCACTCCAGAGCTTGCCTACACCTCAGGTTCTTGAGAGTATCTGGTTTATCCAGACAGCTCATCTCTCTTCTTACATTGCCATTACTGATGCTGCCAGTTTCTAAATGGGTGTCATACTAAGATGATACTGGGCAAGGTGGGGCAGAAAAGAGGAAGTGGTGCCTGGTTCTGGGGAGCTCCCAGCCTCCACACACCATTTTTGCTGTAACTTGTCTTTGACTTTTAAAGCCATATTTATGGGGCTGCCTTATGCCAGAAACAGGGAACTAAGTGTGAAAGGGTAATTCTTATAATTTATGGCTTGACCAGTGGAGGCCATGTAATTATAGCAGTCAGCAGGTACAGAACGAGCCAATTTTTGGTTTGGGAAGACAGACTGTTCCCACTAAATTTTCCAGCAGTTCCTCAAGCGACAACAGGAGGAAGGATTTACTGTGAGAGCAAACACGGAGCCTGAGAAGAAGGAAGTTTGGGGGGGGGGAGCACAGCATATGGGAAAAGAAAAGAGGAAGCGCTATGCTGTGTTAAAACGTCATCTGCAAAGTATATAGCTCTGCGTTCTGACTGCACTGCTGTGTGCTCCATGTCGGTGGGCAGAGAGCAGACCAGGTGCAGCACAGGGCAGCGTGATGGCCCGTGTGGGCTGACGGAGCTGCAGCCACGCACGGCGCTGGGGCTGCTCGGAACTGGCAGAAACGTTGGCAGATGTGTCAGTGCCGTCCTTGTGGTAAGGTCTACGCTGACCTTACGTGGAAGAGATTTTGTAAGAGAAGAACATAGAGGTGCATACTACAGCAGATTTGGGGTCTTACCGTCCGATACTGATTAGCAACGACTGTAACAGTGCAAGCTGTCTTGACAGCACGCCCTGGGTCAGTGTGACGGTGGCTACCGAGGGACCACCGACGCTACAAAAGCCCCGCAGCCCCACAGCCCGACCCGCGCGGGGCCGAAGCACAGCGGCGCGCTCGGGGCTCCTCGGCCGCCCCGCCCCGCGGCCCCGCCGCGCCTGCGCAGCGCCCGCCGAGGGGAGCGTGCGGCCATGGCGCAGCCGGGCAGAGCCAGCCTCAAGGAGCAGCGCTACGACCGGCAGCTGAGGTAGCGCGCCGGGGCTCCGCGGGGCCGCCTTCCCCGCAGCCCGCCCTTAGCCTGCCCACGGAGGGCCGCTTGTCGCGGTGCCCGGCCTCGCCTTTCGCCTCGGGCCGCGCTCATCTCTTCCGCCGGCGGCCTCCCCGCGGCCCTGGGGCGGAGGGCGCTGCGGCGGGACCGGCCGGCTGCCGGCTGCCGGGAGGGGCTCGGGTCGGTCCCGCCGTGCCGCTGGGAATCCCGGTGCCGGCCGTGAGGCAGCGCTGCTCGGGATGGGGGTGGGCCCGAGCGAGCGGCGGCCCCTGCCTGCAGTGCGGTTTGTTGGGGCCGGGCCGGCCTTCACGTGCTTGCTAAGACTCGAGGTGGTTAGCAGGAGTCGTAACGCGTCCCGCGTCCCTTCACTGAGCCTCGGACATCGCAGCGCCGTGACGTCAGCGCTGCCCGGCCGCAGCTTCAGCCCGGGCGTTTCTGCCGCTCTGCGCTTGTTCGCGGGCGTCCCACCTGCTGGCGTTGTGGTTCTGGTCCCCTCTTGCTTTTAGTGTCCTGGCGTTAAACGTAAACAAATAAAAGAAGCTTTATTCATTATCTACGTTAACTGTTGCATGTGTGGCCCAGGCAGGCCGCGAGGTTGGCTGCCCCCGCAGCTCGGAGCGCTGCTTCCCGGCTGCCGCTGTGCATCCCGGTGTCTGCCAGCATCTCGGACTACAGGAGTGTATCATGTATAACTGAACCCATGGAAAACAAAGCATTCTGTTTTAATATTTCTTTCCATCGGCAACTTTTGCCTGGGGAGTGTTTTCACCCGTACTGATGGCTTAAAAGTTAAGTGTGTTACAGTAGAAAAATGTGTACGTGTTTGTATGATGTAGGGGGTGAGGATGAGAAAATGAAATGCCACTAAATGGGTTTTTTCTTTAAGAGATACTCAGGTTTGTCATAGTGAGTTTTCAAAGTGAAAGCTTATTTCAGTTGGTGCTGGTTAGCTGTTCTCAACTACTTCCCAGCTAATGGGAAGTAGTATGCCAGCCTTCATTTGTGACAGCTTATTTTTTAAAAAAAACTTGTTTATTCATTTCTTTGTATTCACTTTGCCAACAGAAACGAAACACCTGCAGAATGTTTATGTTTTTATTCTAATATAGACTGTGGGGTGACCATGGACAAGAAGCTTTAGAGTCAGCCCATGTTTGTGTGATAAATGCAACGGCCACAGGAACTGAAATACTCAAAAATCTGGTGCTACCTGGTGAGTAAATAGCAGCTGTGTACGTGCTTAGTGATGTAGCTGGTAGGTTCACATGATGTCTAGTCAGTCACACACTTTTTTTTTTCC